ATTTAACTGTCTTCAATCCAATGAATCCAGCTTTTATTTTTGAAGATGGTTAAATTTTAAGTAACATTTGAATTAACCCTGCTGCATTTTACAATTGAAGATCCGGGCCCGTATTCATGAAAGCGTTCTCATGCCTTAGCATGAATTTTGTGTTCAGGCCTGCTAATTTCTTATTCCATTTATAAGTTAATAAAAAAAAATCTTTTTTTTTAATGATTTGGAAACCCTTTAAAGAGACTTCAAGCCGAATACTGTTTTCAATTTTTACATTTGCCTTTTTGATCGTTTGACATGATTTAAGTAAGTTACAAGAAAGAAGGTTTGAGCACAGAATCCATGTTTGAGCATGAGAACAGTTTCATGAATACGGGCCCTTGACTTTGAACAAGAGGCCTATAGGCCTTAATGATCACTGGAGTTAAACAGTATATAACAGTACATATAAAACCTAAAGTCTTTTGGACTGTGGATTGGCTTTTACAAACAAGATGCCCAATGGGCCTGCATCGCTCACCTGGTATTAATCTCACACTTGTAATCTTAAAAGTGGACTAAAATACAGCTATAGGCAGAATATCAGTGTTTGATTCATAAGAACATATAAAAAGATTTAAACATATGATGCCTGTGACCTTGAATGTTGAACAAGGACATTAGGTTGAAAGTTGGTCAAGGTCATTCATTTGGACAAACTTGGTAGTCCTTTATCGCAGCATGCTACAGGCCCGATTTCAGTACCCTGGGCCTTTTGGTTATTTATCAAGCACAAGTGGTTTGAAGGCTTTACAACATTTTACCCCTGTGACCTTGAAAGTATGTCAAGGTCATTTTCATTTTCAAACTTTTTGGGCTCGTTTCCAGGAAGCCACCAGCCAAATATAAAGATTCTATACCTTTTAGTTCTTCAGAAGAAGTCGTTTAAAGAGTTTTTACATATTTGACCGCTGTGACCTTGAAAGTACGTCAAGGTCATTTTCATTTTCAAACTTTGTTGGGCTCCATTCCAGGAGACCAGCCAAATATGACGATTCTATACCTTTTAGTTCTTCAGAAGAAGTCGTTTGAAGCGTTTGACATATTTGACCACTGTGACCTTGAAAGAAGGTCAAAGTCATTTTCAATCTCAAACTTTGTTAGACTCCATCCCAGGAAGCCGTCAGTCAAATATAAAGATTCTATACCTTTTAGTTTTTCTTTAGAAGTCGTTTGAAGTGTTCGACATATTTGACCACTGTGACCTTGAAAGAAGGTCAAAGTCATTTTCAATCTCAAACTTTGTTAGGCTCCATCCCAGGAAGCCATCAGTCAAATATGAAGATTCTATACCTTTTAGTTCTTCAGAAGAAGTCGTTTGAAGAGTTTGACACATTTGACCCCTGTGACCTTGAAAGAATGTCAAGGTCATTTTCATTCTCAAACTTTGTCAGGCTCTATCCTAGGAAGCCACCAGCCAAATATAAAGATTCTATATGTTTTAGTTCTTCAAAAGAAGTCGTTTAAAGAGTTTTTACATATTTGACAGCTGTGACCTTGAAAGTACGTCAAGGCCATTTTCATTTTCAAACTTTGTTGGGCTCCATCCCAGGAGACCAGCCAAATATGAAGATTCTATACCTTTTAGTTCTTCAGAAGAAGTCGTTTGAAGAGTTTGACACATTTGACCCCTGTGACCTTGAAAGTAGGTCAAGGTCATTTTCGTTCTCAAACTTTGTCAGGCTCCTACCAACGAAGCTATCACCCAAATATCATGACTCTAGGCCTGTCCATTCTTCAGAAGGAGTCGTTAAAAGGAAAAGTTGACGGACGGACGACGGACGCTGCGCCATGGCATAAGCTCACTAGCCCTACGGGCAGGTGAGCTAAAAAATGATGATGGGGAGTTTTTATATGTCGAGACAAGGTAAAAGCTATGAACTCTTGGATTTAGAAGTTGACTTGTCCTATACCAGACAAAGGAACAATATTAATCTGCTGTTAATTAGCTTTTCTCAGACCCCATGCTAGATTTTTCTATCTTGTCTGATCTTTCTGGCACATTTAGTGTATTCATCTGGGATGATCCACATATTAATCTGTGCGGTAACAGCTTGAAATTGACAATCCTCATTATAAATACTCTGTTATGTCATTATACGTGTATGTGTTGTTAAGATTCATAATATTGAAGAAAAAATAAAATCTACACTATAAAGTTTGTTATCTTCATTGCAAAGATGGACTACATTTTTACGCAGAAGCATTCAAACATAGCTAAGTAGTGAATAGGCCATATCTATTTGAGGTCCCCACAAGGATACTTGTAGACTTAAGCTTAACAAAAAAAAACTTTTCACACTAAAATATTTGAGAAAAAAATTCAATTGTTTCGGGCAAAGTTTCTGTGTTTACTACCGTGTTATTATCTGGACAACCAATCCCAGTCATCAGTGACAGCCAAAGTTACAACCCTGTTATTATCTGTACAACCAATCTCAGTCATCAGGGACATCCAATGTTACAACCCTATTATTATCTGGACAACCAATCCCATTCATCAGTGACAGCCAATGTTACAGCCCTGTTATTATCTGGACAACCAGTCTCGGTCATCAGTGACATCCAATGCTATAGTCCTGTTATTATCTGGACAACCGATCACAGTCATCAGTGACTCCAATGTTAAAACCCTGTTATTATCTGGACCACCAAACCCAGTCATCAGTGACATCCAATGTCACAACCCTGTTACTATCTGGACAACCAATCTCAGTCACCAGTGACATCCAATGTTACAATCCTGTTACTATCGTTTCTGTGTTTACTACCGTGTTATTATCTGGACATCCAATCCCAGTCATCAGTGACAACCAATGTTTCAACCCTGTTATTATCTGGACTACCAATCCCAGTCATCAGTGACATCCAATGTCACAACCCTGTTACTATCTGGACAACCAATCTCAGACATCAGAGACATCCAATGTTACAACCCTATTATTATCTGGACAACCAATCTCAGACATCAGTGACATCCAATGCTATAGTCCTGTTATTATCTGGACAACCGATCACAGTCATCAGTGACATCCAATGCTATAGTCCTGTTATTATCTGGACAACCGATCACAGTCATCAGTGACATCCAATGCTATAGTCCTGTTATTATCTGGACAACCAATCTTAGTCATCAGTGACATCCAATGCTATAGTCCTGTTATTATCTGGACAACCAATCCCAGTAATCAGTGACAGCCAATGTTACAGCCCTGTTATTATCTGGACAACCACCCCCAGTCATCAGTGACAGCCAATGTTACAATCCTGTTATTATCTGGACAACCGATCACAGTCATCAGTGACTCCAATGTTAAAACCCTGTTATTATCTGGACCACCAAACCCAGTCATCAGTGACATCCAACGTCACAACCCTGTTATTATCTGGAATCCCAGTCATCAGTGACAGCCAATGTTACAACCCTGTTATTATCTGGACAACCGATCACAGTCATCAGTGACATCCAATGTTACAACCCTGTTATTATCTGGACTACCAATCCCAGTCATCAGTGACATCCAATGTTACAACCCTGTTTTCATCTGGACAACCAATCTCAGTCATCAGTGACATCCAATATTACAACCCTGTTATTATCTGGACAACCAATCTTAGTCCTCAGTGACATCCAATGTCACAACCCTGTTATTATCTGGACAACCAATCTCAGACATCAGTGACATCCAATGTTACAACCCTGTTATTATCTGGCCAACCAATCTCAGTCATCAGTGACATCCAATGTTTCAACACTGTTATTATCTGGACAACCAATCTCAGTCATCAGTGACATCCAACGCTATAATCCTGTTATTATCTGGACAACCAATCTCAGTCATCAATGACATCCAATGTTACAACCCTGTTATTATCTGGACAACCAATCCCAGTCATCAGTGACATCCAATGTTACAACCCTGTTATTATCTGGCCAACCAATCTCAGTCATCAGTGACATCCAATGTTTCATCCCTGTTATTATCTGGACAACCAATCTTAGTCATCAGTGACATCCAATGTCACAACCCTGTTATTATCTGGACAACCAATCTCAGTCATCAATGACATCCAATGTTACAACCCTGTTATTATCTGGACTACCAATCCCAGTCATCAGTGACATCCAATGTTACAACCCTGTTATTATCTGGACAACCCATCTCAGTCATCAGTGACATCCAATGTTACAACACTGTTATTATCTGGACAACCACCCCCAGTCATCAGTGACAGCCAATGTTACAACCCTGTTATTATCTGGACAACCAATCTCAGACATCAGTGACATCCAATGTTACAACCCTGTTATTATCTGGACAACCAATCTGTCATCAGTGACATCCAATGTTACAACCCTGTTTTCATCTGGACAACCAATCTCAGTCATCAGTGACATTCAATGTTACAACCCTGTTATTATCTGGACAACCCATCTCAGTCATCAGTGACATCCAATGTTACAACCCTGTTATTATCTGGACAACCAATCTTAGTCATCAGTGACATCCAATGTCACAACCCTGTTATTATCTGGACAACCAATCTCAGACATCAGTGACATCCAATGTTACAACCCTCTTATTATCTGGACAACCAATCCCAGACATCAGTGACATCCAATGTTACAACACTGTTACTATCTGGACAACCAATCTCAGTCATCAGTGACATCCAATATTACAACCCTGTTATTATCTGGACAACCATTCTCAGTCATCAGTGACATCCAATGTGACAACACTGTTATTATCTGGACAACCAATCTCAGTCATCAGTGACATCCAACGTTACAACCCTCTTATTATCTGGACAACCAATCCCAGACATCAGTGACATCCAATGTTACAACCCTGTTATTATCTGGACAACCAGTCTCGGTCATAAATGACATTCAATAACTAGAACTTTGGTATCTGGGCGGCAATGCTATTATGACTTGAATAAAATGACAACAGAAAAATATATGCTGAGAAAGAATTTTAATAGGTAACATAAGTATAATGAAAAAATAGATTTATAAACATTCTCTTGATTAACATACATCTATAACACTTAGTACTTTAATTTGCTGAACCTAGTTCTGCTGAATGTCGTTGATATGGAGCGAGTGATCAAATTGAAAATATCTTTATACAATCAATTTTATGTTTCTCATAGACAATTATACTTAAAACTTATTAGCTACACTACCTGAAGAATTACAGACCTGAACATCTTATTCTCTATCTTTCTTTAGAATTTATATGACAAACAATCAAAAATTACCTACTGTGTATCTCAAACTGATGACATAATTCAACATAACAAGACAAAATAAGCAATGTTAGTAAGTTATAAAGAGGAAAATAACATTTTCCTGTATAATTTGCAGTTAAAACTACAAATGTATTCGTGTAATACATTTGAGTGATATCTGCTGTGGTTAAAGTGTTAACATGGTTGGTTACTCATAAATCAAAATGTTATCTACTAAAAATCCTATGTTAATTTTAGCATTACAACTTGTTCAAAACTATTAAAAAATGCTCAAATAAGGTTTTCACCAATTCTACAAAAAAGTGCTCAAATAAAGTTTCACTAATTCTACAGTCAAAGTACATATATATATTATAGCAATAACTATGTTGACATTAGTCCTGAAATAAAAATTCCATTCTAATGCTGCAAATAAGAAGCAAAAAAACTCAACTTAAAATAGGTTTTCCACTTAATCACCAATTGATGCATAAACAGATGCCACTCTGAAGATCAGATGTCATTAAGGTAAAGGGCACCATGTACACTGCATCAGTCATGGCCACAAGACTTCCACTTCATCAGATGTCATTAAGGTAAAGGGCACCATGTACACTGCATCAGTCATGGCCACAAGACTTCCACTTCATCAGATGTCATTAAGGTAAAGGGCACCATGTACACTGCATCAGTCATGGCCACAAGACTTCCACTTCATCAGATGTCATTAAGGTAAAGGGCACCATGTACACTGCATCAGTCATGGCCACAAGACTTCCACTTCATCAGATGTCATTAAGGTAAAGGGCACCATGTACACTGCATCAGTCATGGCCACAAGACTTCCACTTCAGAGCTGGTTTTTAACTCATTCACCCCTACATATTTACACTGGACTTGTCCCGTCTTTGATTCGGTAAGATTATAATGTGATTTTAGGGGTGAATGGCATGGGTTAAACTAAGAGTACAGAAGCGGTTATTTTCTGACCCAGAGTTACTTCCCTTGTGATGGTATTCATCTCTCATGTGACTTTCCTTATCATGGTTGTGTAGTTATAATTCCTAGATAGCAACATTAACACTGGTAAGGTGTACATGTATATTTGGCTATTTGATAGGTCCAGAGTTTGACTCCTGTAGTTTTCTTTTTTCTTTTTTGTTCATTTTCATTTCTTCATATGTTTGATTTCAATTAAGCAACTAAAATTACTTCAAACCGATGGTAATAATATTTCATAAGTTGATGCATGGTACCCTTTACCTTAAAACCATTCACCCCTGAAATTTCATAATGAAATATTCCAACCTTTGAACTGGAAGAGTTCAAATGTGTCTTCAGGGGTGAATGAGTTAAATAACATAATATGAATATTATCACAGTACATTTTCAGGATTTCAGCTAAATAATTTATTTTACTTTAACTTGTTGACAAAATGGCAAGTCTAATAAAATGGAACACATAGACGCAGATTGTTACGTGTATAGCATTGCACTGTCCACTCATTATAAAGTAAACTATTGATTATGTCTGAAAGGTATAACCTTCAGAAACACTATAATAGCTATGAATAATAGTGTGGTCTAAAGAATAAAAAATAAAAAACACTGGGAGGGGGATCATTAACTCACTAATTAGGATCTTTGTTTTATTGTTATACCTGTAATATGTAGATAATTTTCATTAAAATAAAACAATGTCAGCAGTGACTGTAAACATTACCCTAACAACAAGAACAGACATTTGAATAACATACTCAAAAATAACTGGCATATAGAACTCAAATCCAGTCATAAAATTACAGAGAGGAGTGAAACCGATTCCATGTCCTCAAAGTATGTACACGGGTATGGGCAGGAAAACTTAATTACTAGTGAAGGATCATGTCTTATCACAGTAAGGCAATAGCACTATCTATCATCAGTCTTACAGTCCTACAGTCAGCAGTAACGTGAGCTACAAATGGATGAATGCTGCAGTCATAATGAGGTATGAATGCTGCAGTCATAATGAGGTATGAATGCCACAGCCGAATAGTTGATGTCATCATAAATAGTACCTGGTAGTAGCACTAGGTACCACTGACTCTCACTGGAACATGACTGTACTGACATTAAAAGTAAACTTAATACCAAAGACTGTTAAGCATTCCTTAAACATGTATATCAAAATATTACAAAAATACTAATCTTAAACACAGAACTACTTACAGTTGGCATTCCTGCACTGCAAGTACTATATGTGCCCTATAAGCATCCCTTTTGATTATGAATCCCAAATTCACTCCTTCACCCCTGGTGATGCATTTAATTTGAACCCTTCCAATTCAAAGATTGGAATAGTTCATTATAAAAGTTCAGGGGTGAATGAGTTAAACAGTTCAAAGGTGAAATATTCTATCTTACTCCCAGTTTATTCACTAACTTTTTTGTAGGGGGTGAAATACAATAATTTTGTACATTTGATATGTGTTCCTCAATCAATAAATTACTGAAATGACAGGAGTGATACGGTCTAAACTTTGTACGTTTGACACTTGTTCCAGTCACAGAGTGAAGGAGGAACTAAAATTGTGTGCTTTGACATTTGCTCATAAAATGTTTTCAGTAGCACCAATGATACATATAAATTTTTCGAAGATACCATGAAATGGTAAATAAAAGTTAAAAAACAATATTTTTTGGCAATGAAATCATGTTTAAACATTTTAAGTGATCCCTTTCTCTAATGGTTTAATACTCAAACAATTACTTGGGAATGCAACCGACACTAAAATGACCATGGTTTTTATGACAAATTGTACAAATTCATTGTAGAACTACGCCATCAATGCATGAAAACATTCAATGCAGTATAAATTAATTTGAATATAGAAAATGACTTAACCCTTTCACCAGTGTAGACCAACATGGACTCATCCAGATCAATGCATGGTAGAGTCTACTAAAGTTACATAGGGGTGAAAGGGTTAAAAAGGATTTCGTGCAATTTGTAGATAGTTCAGGAAACAACCCAAGTAAACATGTCCATCAGATGTCCCAGACCAGTCTCCAGATTTTTAACAGGGACTGACTATCAGAATTAACAGCACAGTCACAACATACACACAAAATACCATGCTAACATGCACTTCCACTGATTCCCAAACTTGACCCTCTACCCTGTCCTCCCTGTTGGTGTTAGCTTCACCAGGAGAGCTAAAGTGTTAGTTCAGAGGATTACATTAACGAGGTGAAGTAGCCAATACAAAAAAGTTACTAGTAAAGTCATGAGTGATACTCTTTCAAACAAAAACGTTATCGTTTCCGCAGTAGGAAAAATCCTGGGTTTGATGGCCCAAGGCCTGTAGATCTGGCCTGTTAGCAAGTGAAAATTTTCTTATCTACTTATTGATGGTCTAGTGCAGCATTCGCCGATTACTACATGTCTTCATTTAACAAATAAACAGCTGACAAGCAAAACGATGGTATTTTTGTGAATATGACACTAATGTTATAGAATCTACTTCCCTGAAAAATACATGCTTTTGCAAACCAACTAGGCCAAGGTAACATTGCTTTTGGAAATCTTGTTCTTGCCCTGAAAATGTTATCATTTACTTCCCGACTTCATTTCAAGTTTTATGTTGGAATTTGTGAACCTAGTTGGAGAAAGAAGACATGGACTTGTATCAATTTGTACAGTTTTACATTTCCACCGCTGGCTAGCATCCTCTTACAAAGGTTAATGTTCTATTCCACACTAGTGTAATTATCAATGTACTAAACTAAATGCATGTCATGTTAGTAACGGCCAATAGCAGCAGACGACACAGGTCTCACATGGACACAACAACGCCACAATCAAACAGGCTCCATGATTCAAAGTGCCGCTTTATCTTTTTTCCACTGGTAGGAGCCGGTGTACTTGAAGTTGTTTTTCTTCATGAATTCATCGGTTTCACTTGGACCACGACTGAAAACACATGGAAAATCACATCACACCAAAATGTTACGTCACACTGGAGGTCACAAGTCAAGGTCACTGGTAAAACAGTTGTTAGTAGGAAGAATGGTGAGGACAGTGAAAGAATGAAGAGGATAAATAGCAACACACATGCATAGTCTAGAGCTGAAATCCTTTTACTATTGCTAAAGTACCTGTATAGGAAGTTTTAAATGCATGATGGAAGTAGCAGTTGAACAAAATAAACTGTGGAATGCAAATGTGAAATTTATAGGCACGAAAATACTTAGGTTAGAGCTCTTAATCAGGGAAACACTTATGAAGTTAAGAATATACCTATACAAGTACTTGTACAGTATATTATAACACTCTAGCTACATTGTTTCCTATCCTTTACACTTCCTTTTCATTACCAATTCATGTTCCATAACTTATATCAATAGATAATTGGCAACCAAGTGGTCAGTAATTAGGGTCTGAAGTTGATCTCACCAGTTGTAAGAACTTTTCAGCCTTTTCCATCTCTTCTTTAGGAAACAGATTATTTTTATCTACACTGTAAATATTTCATAAAATTTAAACGATTCAGAATTTACAAGGTGTTAGAAAAATGTGCAGTTGAGTTTTCATAGAAATACTTTTGGAAAATGTGTTTTGGTTGGTTGGTCGAGACTCTTGTATTCTAATGCTACAGAGGTTTGGTACAAATACTAACAAAACAAACTGAAGGAATCACCGGAGACACAGTGTAGCTAAAGCATTAAAACATCCATTAATTACACACTTCTTAGCTCATTAATATAGTACCCAATAGAACTACAGTTATGATAGGTAATGGCTAAAAGTCCGGAAAATTGGCGGTAGAAAGCGAGTTTTCCAATGGTAAAAGTAATTTTATGATTGGTCTACGGGCATCACTTCATTGGTTGTAGTTTTCAAGCTGTTTATACATGAAATTAAAAGCCATCACTTGAGGGAAGTAAGGAGAATTTAGGTCAGTTTAAAATCCATCACTTGAGGGAAGGAAGGAGAATTTAGGTCAGTTTAAAATCCATCACTTGAGGGAAGTAAGGAGAACTTAGGTCAGTTTAACAGCCATCAATTGAGGGCAGTAAGGAGAATTTAGGTCAGTTTAACAGCCATCACTTGAGGGCAGTAAGGAGAATTTAGGTCAGTTTAAAAGCTATCACTTGAGGGAAGTAAGGAGAATTTAGGTCAGTTTAACATCATATTCCAATTCCCAACCAAATTCTCACAACTGATTTTCTTTTTAGTTTAAAAATGTGTTTCCATGGTACGGACACAAAGACATGGAACGTGCATGCTGAACCTCTGTAAGCCTCTCAATATTATCTAGAATGTTGTACAGGTTTACAGGAGATGACAGCTTGTAATCATGCAAGGCACACTATCACACATGCAGTTAGGTATATATATTATGTTACATGCAGGTGAGATGCGTACATGAAAGGTAATGCAAGATACCATTGCACAATCATTGAAATGTTAACATGCATTAAGCTACTGTCCTGTAAAAAAGACTTGATTTAAAGATGATGAAACTGATGAATTTTCAGTATCTGATGTTTGTTTACAAATATGCATAGGGGATGATAATAATAAATAATAATAATAATAGACTTTATTTAAATTCGATAAAACATTGAGTCAATGACTCGTCTCACATGTGGTCGACATAAAATGTACAATATTTACGGTCAGGCCCAGACATGACAGATGATTGTAGGGTATGGTGTTATGTTACCGATTCATATTATCAATCTTTATCATAAAATGATTGCATCTGGTCACCCTATTACTTTGTTAGATTTCAGTGTTAAATCTGTGGTTGTACTTTCAAGAACAAGTAACACTGTTTTAGAGAATACATGCATGTCTCTGGCGTGGGAGGAACAGTCTCACCACCTTAAACTTGGCCGGCATTGAAGAAATAGATTTTCTTTTTGAAGGAATATCTGGTGTCAAATGAAAATCCAGTTCAGTCTAAATCTCATTTGTTTGATCACAACTTCTCAGGTTTAGTAGGAACCATGCTATAGATTCAAGTGTCTATGAAAAAGCAAAAGACCATACCATGTCATCTTTCAACTTTTTGTTAATGATATCCTTTTAATCAAAACATTCAATAGCCATTCATATACAAAACAAAATATCTACTGAAAGTTTACAATCAAACAAAATGAAAATAGCTTTCATGAGGACATTTTTACATAATATTCAAGGATTAAAGATAAACCAAAAATGAAATGTTTCATTCCTTTGTATAAGTAAGTAGATCCCATGTTTACTTGACTATAGAAGCTTTGAGAGAAGCTATTTGGTAACACTAGAGATGGAGGCATCAGATAAATGGATTCTGTGTGTCATCAAGTAGATCCCAGGTTGAGAAGATAAACAGATTATGTGTGTTTGTCTGTCATGCAAAATGAATGACAGCATCAATTGATTGGTTCATCAGCATCTGTAGCTGATTACTACAGAGTTCAGTAAACACGGCCCACTGCTCCTCGCCTAAGGCAATTAACTAATCACCCAGAATGTGTCACTCCACAGGTCAATTAGTCTGTCAACATTTCACTCTATGGAACACACACAAACATGCTGGAACAAATACAGGTTTTAATCACCCAGAATGTGTCTCTCCACAGGTCAATTAGTCCATCAACATTTCACTCTATGGAACACACACAAACATGCTGGAACAAATACAGGTTTTTCCTTAAATGGTAACACTACACCAGTGACAATTTAGCAATAGATTTCCACCTCAGAGCTGTTTCTCCATTATATATAGGACTCACACAACTAAATCAGCCAATTAGCAAGTGTTTCATACAATTGTAATCCCTACCTAAAATTTGTTTTATTTTTAACTTTTGAAAAACATAGTTTTAGTAGATTTTAACATGTGATGGCAGATTGCTATGGGGTCAAAAGTCAGGGGGTGTTACTGCCCCACTTCACCGGTTTGGCTTGTAAACTTCCGGTTGTCAAAAGCGGACGCCTGTAGCGATCTTATATGCCTTCATTAGTGTTGAACTTCATATATCCTTATATATACACATATAAAAGAAAAAGAAACCTAACTTTTCTGTCTTGGAGTAACATCCCTTTGTAGAGTATTCATCTTTCATTTTTATACTGTGTATTTCCAGGATAGCAACACTGGTTACCGGTTAAGCTTCAAAAAACACCTTTCATGGGATCATTTAGTTGACTTCAGTAAATATCTGGGTCCACAATAAGATCCTCCACACCACCGTTTGATGGTATAACAGCTAAAATATGACACACCTCTACAGGTACATTGAGGTCAGCTCGTACAGTTATTTCTGATGTAAGTAGTTACATATACTTATTTTAAGATAAGTACGTTGTATATGAGGTCAGTGTTTGTTATCACCAAGAGCATAAATAACCAGTGTGAATGTCACACAGTGATATTCAGTAATTAAGCATCAGTCAGCAATGCTAGGCCAATGTGTGGTGTTACACAGGTAACTATACTAGTAGTGATCAGTAATTAGGCTCTGCCTACTGAAGTGTGGTGATGGGATCTCAGTCCTAAGTAGTCAACTGTAACACAAATCTCTTAAGAAACCTAGGCAACCAGCATCACCATTCTTTGCTAAATTCCTTGTGATGTAGTTGAAGCTTCAAACCTAATCTATAGTGGCTGTAGCTTACTTTACGTGTGCCTGTTGGTGACACGAACCTCATCTACATGTATAGTGGCTGTAGCTTACTTTACGTGTGTCTGTTGGTGACACGAACCTCATCTACATCTA